ATTCGGTCTTGCAACGTGCCGTCGCGACCCTGTCCCGCTTGCCGGTTTGCTCGCGGACATAGGTCCTTATGTCCGGGACGGGGGTTTGTTCGCACCTAACGCTAATTTCAGGAACTAACGCCGGGGGCGCTTGGCGCGGTGCATTCGTACCGGTTTGACGTTCGCGCGAGAGAGTTTTTTCCAACCGGCGGCGGGGTCGAGTCGAACAGTTGCAGTTGGAAACCTCCATTTTTGGAGTCGGTTTTGTGAGCAGACGTTGCCACGACGAAGGTTTCTTTTTTAAGTCTAGAATTCGACGCCGGGCTGACAAATTGTTAGGAAGTTAACATTGACTGCGATCAAAGTCTGAATTGCGTGTTAGGCGCGCCTAATTTACCGCGAATTTAGTTATTCTAATTTGATAGCGTATATAAGTGATTTGACAATATTAATTGCTCGTGCGGCCTTTGATATAGACTGTCATAGGGAAGAAGGAAGAAAGTGACGGTGGGTGACGCCGCGGGAGATTACTACATTTTGGAGCAGCCTGGAACTCGGCCGTTACTGCTCGCCTATGCTCTTCTCTCTGCACTCACACATCACTGTACACTACTCGCCATCTACTATTACACACACTCACGGCCTGCCCAAGCCTTGGTGCGAAGTTAGCTTCGGAGAATGGTAAGTACTATGTGTTTCTAGCTTTCTCCCATATTGTTTATTGTAATTATGAAATTCCACGAGGCCATATTATGGCCCCGTCCCTCTGCTGCCCGTCGACGGGATTACTCATGGGCCCTAATTCCGTCATCCTTGGTTGGGGCAGCTAGGGGCGTGTACAGGTAAACATACATAAATATCAATCAAATAAAATAAATACATAAAAAATACTTAAAAATATAAAAATCCAACCAGATGGAAGCAGGGGAGACCAGACGGCCGAGGGTTAGGGGGAAAGGGAAAGAAACCGGCGGACGATGCGGGCTGTATCGAAGAGCACCGCCTTCTGCATTTGAGCCTGGAGCGGTCCGTCACGGAGTCCCAGTCGCCTCAGATGACCCGAGAGGCTGACTGGGATTAACCTGTTCGCAGAAACGACCACAGGAATTATTTCGGTCAGCAGACCACCCCACATGTCGGTCACCTCGTGAGCCAGGTCCTGATATTTTGTCAGCTTATCTGTTTCGGCTTTCACGAGGTTCTCGTCATAAGGAATGGTAATATCGACCAAAAATATCCTTGACTGCCCGGTCCATCAGCACAATATCAGGCTTATTCGCAAGAATAGTCCTGTCTGTGATGATGGCACGGTTTCCGGCAAGTACTTGTAATACGGCAGTTTCCAATCCACGAGACCGTATTCCAGAGCAAGCTCCTGGTGTAGAATCCTGGCTACTAGATTATGTCTGTGCAAATACTCAGAGTTAGAAAGCGCCGAACAACCGGATATGACATGCCTAAGTGACTCATCGGGATGGCGACAAGCTCGACAGATGTCGACGGCGCTATCCTTTAGGGTTGTATTTCCGATAATTGTTGGTCTTAATAACCTGATCCTGTATAGCACAGACAAAACCCTCGGTTTCCTCAAAGAGGTCGCCGAAACGTAGCCAGTGGAGGGAGGCGACCGTGTCTACGAAAGGCTCATGTGAGCCTAGTAGAACCTCCCGTGGAGCTCCTTCTCCTTTCATACGGTCACCCGTTCGGAAATGCACTGTACTGCTGGGTCTTGCCATTGCTCCTTGGCTAAGGATAGAGGAGTAAGCCCTTTGTCACACGAAATGACGTCCCTATAGAATTGATCACCCGATCTCACCAGAAAGTAATTACGGAGGCTGCACACTTCACGATTATGCATGGTAAGAGCGCTCAAAAAGCCGCACCCACCATGTTTCCGCGGCAAGTACAGCCTCATTACTGACGATCTCGGATGATGCATCTTGTGAGACGTCATAACAGTGCGGAATTTCTATCCAGAGCGTTCAGTTCGGTTTGAGACCACCTGAGTATGCCGAAGGTATATATGAGGACAGGCATGACCCAACCGTTATATGCGTGTGGCTTATTCATACCCGACAAAAGACTGTTGAGCACTTTTGTCAAGCGTGCATAAAACACATCGCAAACTGACTCTTTCATGTCCGCCTCATCGATACCTATGTTCTATGACATACCCAGGTATCGGTATGTTTCAGCCTCGGATAGGGTCTTTATGTTGATGGGCATAGATAAGTCTATGTTCTCAGAGTTAGCAACCCTACCCCTTTCGACATGGAAGACCGCACACTTTTCCGTCCCCAGCTCCATTCTAATGGAATTGCTAAAATCACTTAGTGATGTTCAGCAAATCCATAAGATGGGAGTGACTGGAGGCGAGTAACTTGAGATCATCCATATAGAAAATGTGGGTCACTTTTGAACCTCCTTTCCGAAGCTGAAATATCCTCCGGAACCCTCCAGTAAGGTACTGAGAGGGTTCAGAGAGAGCCAGAACCAGATTGGACTCAGACAATCGCCCTGGAAGATACCCCTTCTTATCCTTATATGGTTCTCCGCAGCCGTCATCCGCTTGCCTAGATGACAAAGGATCGTACTTCACTGCCCCATATACTGCCCGAGGAAGTCTCTAACAGTACAGTCAACCTTGTACAGCTCGAGGACCCTCTTCAGCCATGTATGAGGCACCGTGTCGAATGCCTATTTGTAGTCTATCCAGGCAGCGGAGAGGTTCCGACGGTTGCGTTTAACCACCTTGCCAATGATCGCGTCAATGAGGAGTGGTTCCTTGGTTCCACGACCACCGCCCCGACATCCATTTTGAGCGCGTGACATCACCTGATTTGAGTTCAGGTGACGAGTGATTCTCTTCAAAATGGATGTTAGTGTCTTATATATCGTAGGTAGACACGTAATGGGGCGATATATACGGAATCAAATGGGTGATCCCAGTAGTGAAGAAAGAGGCTCTTGAAATTGTCGGGCGAGCACAGCGTGACACACAACGAACCAGCCAGTTTCAGCCAGTAGAGATGCAGCCCGTCGAACCGTGGACTTTTCCAATTCGGGGCCCTTCGGACCGCCTCAGCTACATCGTCCCGCGTTATAATGACGGGGTCCATGGGCGTAACATTCGCACACTGATTCACCACAACATCCGTCCAAGGGCCCTCGGTGTGGTTTATGGGCTTTGTCCACAGGCCGCACCAGAATGCGACAGTGTCGGCCTGATTCGGTGCTTGGCCCGTTCCACGTACCATTGGTCGCTCCAATGATTTATAGAGCCTCTTTTGATCACTCTGGAAGAGACGATTCTGGTTGAACCGTGTCGACCTCTCGATATATCGCTGAATCCGCTTTCCCCAAGCAGCGATTCTTTGCTTCAGGTCGTCTATGCGCTCCGTCAGTTTTTGCGTAATATCCGGCTAGTAAAAACTTATATTTGTCCCAGCAAACGCCATCCTGACGGTGCGCACAATTCTCGGCCTATTATTACCCGACCTGAAGCTTGTCAGTCTGCCGATTAGGGCTCTTGCCTTTGCGATACGGTCCTCAATTCTTTTTCTCCAGGCTGGGATGGCGCTACTTTGTCTTGTAGCACGTCCAGCCGTTGGGAAGTTTGGCGCCAATAATACGGCAAACTGCTAGTGCGGTGCCAAAAAGAATTGAGTCCGTATCGCAAAGCTCCCGGTTGGCTTCCAAATAGGTCATCAGCATTTGGTTGAGAGCCCTCACGACAGCCCGATTCCGCTTGTTTAGGGGTATGCGGGGAAGTCGCGGTTGATTTTCGAGTCGTACTGCGCGTTTAAAAATAGCCTCTTCCAATATACTCCTCATTTGCTCTACTTTGTGAGAGACTATTTTATCATCGTCTGAATCAACTACAACTGGAATATCCACGGTGGCATCCACGTGTGCGGGTTGCTCTGCAATTAGTGGCGCCGCATTACCAGCTGTAGCATTTTCATCCGATGAGGGAACAGCCTCACGTCGTAGTCGTTCGAGTTCGGCGTCACCAAATATGTTGGAGCGCAGGATATACCGAACTCGGTCTGCCAGGTTTTGCTCCGTTACATGAACCGATGGCTCCAGCTCTGCGAAAAAGCGATGCATCCGAGCCCGATACGCCTACATTCCAGTTTCTTCCCCTTTCGCTCTAAAGTACGCTCGCAATGCATTTGTATTCATTATTTCCGTCCAACGCATGCGACGTGCTCCACCAGCGGCGGATACCGCTTGCTGAGTCCGAGAAGACTCGGCCAACATCAAGCCCTCTGGTGGGGATGATGGATGCGGGCGGCTGCTAGGTGGTCTTGCAGCCTCCCGCGCACGGCCGGCAGCCCGTATGCTGTCGCGTCCAGCGCCAGCTCCAGACGCGCCCTGGCGACCTCCAGGCAGGGGCCCTTTGCACACTCTTCTTTTTTCCATCATCCATTAAATGGGCGTCAATTAACCGGAGACGCCCAGGCCCGGCACCGTTTCATGGTGCGGCCGTAAGCACAAACGAGCCTTTGCACCGTCAGCTCTGCCGAGGCACGGCGCTCACACCTCTTGGCAAGGCGCTAACTGACTGCGCTGACATAGCAGTTTTGTCACTTAATTGTTACGTCAGAAGGCGATGGGGTCGTCAATTCCCTACGCCTTATTATTATTATTATTAATTAATATTATTATTCAAATAAAGTCTTACATTAAGTTTTAGATGCGACAACATTCAAATATATTTTCTTGTTGAACCCTTCTGAATGGAATTCCGAATGTATGTGGCGGGTCTTAGTATGAGTTTAGGTTTAGGCATACACATACATACGGAATTCCGTTTCGAGATTCCGTTTCGAAATTACGAACGTGTTGGCCACACAGTTTAATATTATAAACTATCTTCAACAGCGCTTTATTTATTTGTGTCATAATCAGATTTGTCATCCATGTTCACCATATTTTCTTTGTGGCTCCTGATAACATCTTTGTGGCGCTTGATCTAGTCTTCATGGAAAGCAATTTCTTGATGTAAGACTTTTTTTTTAATTAGCAAGTTGCTGCCTTTGCTTTTTATAAAAGTATTCATCTTCTCTTACAGCCTCCATTTTTTCAAAACTGCCACCAGCTTCATGTATAGAACCACCACCACCACCACCACCTCTACCAGCTCCGGATCCAGGTTCACCAGAATACATTTTTAAATTGACAATTGCTGGCATTAATGAAGTTTTTGTTTCGGCAATAAAGCTCATGATTTTACATTTATATACTTCTGAATATTATTAGATCAGATGAATTACTTATCTTTTCTTTCGAAATTTCAATGAAGTGACGTGTTATGAAATTCATAAATTTTTTTCCCACATTCGGGATCCCGTTTTGCCCGTAAAATTTCGAACGGAAAACTACCGTACGTGTGTGACGGGTCATAGATTTTACTTGCTGCATAGTTAGGAGGTAATCTATGACTTGCTGCGTACGGAATTCCGTATATGTAAGTGGCGGGCCTTATGGTTTGACATTTTGACAACGTCAAAACGTCAAAATCAAACAAAATTAATTAATTTTGTTATGAATGAACGTTTTTCTTTTGTGATAAACGTAGACATAGTTAATTATATACTCTTCGCTGGTGATGGCAAATATAAGTTAGCATCATGTTAGGTTTCGTAATTTTTATTATAACTTTCAAGTATTATTGTTTAGCAGTAATGGATATGACTACAAGTTCGTTTGGTAAACATAACGATGGATTTGTTGCAGCTTTTGGTGATTTTAACTCTGACGAGCTAACTGATGCCTTTGTAATTAATGGTTCAAGTGTTAATGTACTCTTAGCTCACGACAAAGAACCATTTTTGCGACCTTCTACTTTTGTTTGTACTTACAGAAACTTTGTTATAACAAGTATAGTGCCAGGTGACTTTGACGGAGATGCCTATATGGATATACTTTTCACTACTCAAATTGAAAATTCTACTTCTAATTTACACGAAGTAAGAATTCTGTGGGGTGGGTCACCAGCTTTGAACTGTTCAGATGGTATTTCGATCAAGGCTACTACAATGGGTCAACCTTTGGTGTTGGATTATAATCGTGATATGATATTAGATCTGTTTGGTATTAATGCTCAGGAACAAAGAGTATTTTGGATATTTGATAAATCTAGAACATCTCCAGTTGAAATATTGATGGGTGATGGTATGCTGTTTAAAGATATAAAACTTCCACATTCTCATTCATTTTTAGACGTAAATGATGATAATGCTGCTGATCTGCTAGTGACAACTAAATTTAATGTAGAAGTATGGTTAAGTGAAGAAACAAGTGGATTTACATATAATAATAGTATTGAATTACTTGTAGGACATCCTGTTATATATGGGCAAGCTTTATTTACTGATGTTGCTTTATCTGGACAATTCTTTTTGGTTATACCTGTATGCTATGATACAGAGTGTATAAATAGTACAATTTTTATATTTGACAATAAAGAATGGCATGACTTACAAGTTGACTTTAATGATGGTAAGGGAACTTTATGGAGATTCAGCCCTCCGAGAGATGAAGTTTATTTAGATTCAATAACAATGAGAAGTGGAGATTACAATATGGATGGTTACCCAGATATTCTAATGACTCTTAGTCCAGTAAATAGTAATGAAACTGCGGTTTTTTTACTGCATAATATTCCTTGCAACTTAGTAGGATGTAGATTTTCAAGAACTTTTGAAGTACAATGGGATAAGTTTGACTCATTTGGAAAAAATGTTGTAATGGCTACATTTTATGACTTTTACATGGATGGCGTTCTTGATATAATATATGTTAAGAAAAACATTTCAACTCAGTCATATACAATGAATGCATTCAGAAATGAGCTAGAATATGATACAAACTTTATTAAGGTGATTGTTGTTACTGGTCTTAGCAACAAAAAAATACCCATAATCAATGGGACTCTTTACAATAGGAAGGTAACTTTTGGTAAGTTATTTACAGAAAATAAAATGAATGGTAATTATTTAAATATTGATCAAATACAATTTAATTCATATATCTATGTTTTTACAGGAACTAATTTACCAGGACCTAAAATTGGCTATAACACATGGTCACAGGAAGGTACATATAGAACAGGTGTTTGTGCACAATTGTCTCAGTCAGCATATTTTGCACTTCAACTTCCTTATTCAATATTTGGCTTAGATAGAACACCAAATTTTGTTGATACACTTAATGTTGGTCTCTCTGGGTACTCCAAAAGTTGGACTCAAATAATACCAAACTCCCAAATAGTTGTAATTCCAGCTCCTCCTGATGATCCATCTCAGTGGAGAGCCCAGTTATTTGTAACTCCTAGTAAGGTTATCCTGAAAAGTGTCTTTGTATTGACTGCTATAATTGTTATAATAACAGCATGTGTTTTGTATTTGCATTGGAAAGAAAGAAATGATAGACAAGATATTATAGAAATTGATGAAAAAACATATGTTAAGATTTAGTTAACACATAAAATATCTGGGGGCATGGCAGTGCCCCCGCCAAGTCGAGCAAAAAAGCGGCACGGCCGTACCATCCTTTTCTCGAAGCAGTTCAGGCCATTTTCGAAACCCTATAACTTCGTTGTGGATAAAACTAGAAGCATGAATTTACAGTAACCAAGTAGGCATTGTATAAACTTGGTATATTTCAAATTTCATTAAATTTGAACCAGTAGTTTAAGAATTATAACTAGTCAAAGTTTCTTCATTTTGTCACTCACTGACTGACCAATCATCAAAACCCTAAGGCACTTCTAGCAGTCTTAGAAGCTTCAAATTTCGAATAAAGTTATTGTTTAATGTATAAATCAAGGTAAAATTAAAATATTTTGCAATTTTTGTCCAGTTTTCTAGATACACCAACTGCATAAATAACTTTGTAAACCCATATAAATATATAAGGTTACAAAGTTACATTTGCAGTGAATGAATCAGTGTACCTATATATGTATAATATAATGGAATAATAGGTGTAGACCTAGATATAACTATCTACAAAAAGAAATGAGATGCCATCAAAAACATAACTTGTAAAAAAGCCAAGTCTCGCAACTCAGTTCTTATACTGTAAATTGTTGTGAGATCCATGTAATACCAAGTCGGTTAATTTATTCACTCCCTACTTAAGGGTCCTTCTGTCTTAAGTTATTACGTAATTAGCTAACCTAACAACATATTATAGTGACCACATCAATACTAAAAATCTTTTATATTTTAAATAAATAGATTAAACACAACTAATTTAATATAATATTCTATCTCAATCTCTCGCAGGCTATAGGCTCCTATAGATATTTAAGTTTAGTCTCTTTCTACTATCGTTTTATTGAGTTTCAAATCACAACGATTCTAAAGTTTTCACTTCAAAAAGAACTGCATAATATACCTAAGTGCAAAAATGTTAGTGATTGATTTTATTCTGGTTTGCAACCAGGTGTAGTATTACTTAAGTTTTTCAAAAATTGTAAATATTCAAACTTTATATAAATAAAATTTACTGTATTTCAAATTATTATTAACATTAGTAATAGTGTAAAGATGTTAAAACATAAGAATTATGTTGTTAAGATGTATTAAAACCCTGTTTTTGTATATTTGTATTTGTTTTATGCTTGTAAGCAAACTCCAGTGCTAGCAAAGTTAAAAGTTAACCGGTTCAGTGCGGATGACATGTGCCATCGATACTTTTGTGTGTGGCGTATGACACACGAGTCGTGTCTTTAAAAATCGTTATAACTCGCTCAAATTGCGTTTTTGGAAAATTTATCCAGAACAAAATATTCATTATTTTGCAAATAGTTCGTGCCTGCAGCATTGTTTCTGGATATTTCGAAAATTTGAAATTTTTAGTGGTTGACAACGTTTTTTTAACTTGTACATGGTACTCTTTTTACTTTTTGGGTTTTCAATCATGTTGTGGAAAAATAGTCTAATAAGTAACAAATAATAGCACTCATTGCGATCGCTCACAAACTCAAGTTGTAAATAAATTTCTGGAAAACATGAATCCTGTTAAAAAAAAAAAACAATGCGCTTGTCTTATTGTTTAAAATGGTTGAACTGCCGTCTTATTACTATCATATGGCTGAATAGATACGATACGATAGATCCTATGAAGTACCATGTGCTCTTGTGATATGGTATAAGGTTTATTTTTGCTTGAAAAAGTTTGAAACCGTTCATGCATAAAAAAAAGTTCGCTAATAAATAGTCTTTTGTAGTGTCCGACCGAAAAAGGATTTTCAACCGAAAACGAACCTTCGGTCTGGGTGTCAATTTCGGCCGAAACCGAAACCGAAACTTATTTAGACATTTTAATTTTATATTTTTATACATATTTAATGAAAAACAGAAAAACAGTAGAGCAATATATTTATTTATTTTAAAGTAAAAATCAACAATTTAACGTTAAGAAATAATTTTTTGAGTCAATATTGTAAAAAAAATCAACACTATCACCCATAAAAAGTTGCTCGCTAATTGAGAACATATTTTATTGTGTTCACAATATTGTTAATATTATTCAATGAGAGCATTAACTTATATATCACACTCACAAACTTACACACATTATACACACAACTTAACAAAATCCCAGAAAATATACCAAACCTGCTCAAAGTTCAAAAACTTTAATAAACTAAGTTTGTATAAAAAGGGTTATTATAATATTAAGAAATTTATGGATATGATAACCCCTGGGAATGAGGTGATCACTATTTCTAATTTGTTTTGTGTGTGTGTGTGTGTTAATTGCGTTATACACATGATTGTAAGTATATAACACAATTAACAACACAAAATGTACAGAAGCCCCTCTTAAATGCGACTGCGAGGCCGTTGTAACTACTTTCAAAGACCGCGATTGTTACATTGACGGAATACGAGACTTCTCAGGATTTGAGCAGGTACGAGGGTGACACTGAAAGTTCTTAGAGAATCAAAAACTGAACAAACTAGCAAGTTATTAGTTTTATTATATCTTTTCAAAATAGTGTCCATTTACATCAATACATTGCTGCATCCGATGGTACCACTGAGAAAATCACTTTGCACACTCGAGGTCTCTTTGACGGCATTTTAAAACGCAGCCACTGCTTCTTCGGCATCCATAAAACATTTTCTCGAAGTTTTTCTTTTATTTTCGGAAAAAGATAAAAATCGCAAGGTGCGAGGTCGGTGCTATAGGGCGAGTGACCCAGTAATTC